TTATACATTTTCTGCACTGTCAGGAAGTATTTTGCCTGGGAATGTATTTTTTTCTTCCAAATCAATTAAATATTTGCAATTCTCGGTTTGAAAAGAGCTATATACCACCTTTGTATTGGCACGGATATAACATATTCCCACAGGGAAAAGGAATAAAAGAGTACCTTTATATTGATACAACATTTTCCTCAAGTGTAGAAGCTAATATAGCTTTCATTATTCGGTCAAGTTAAAGCAGTATTACTTTTTTTCTACTTTATAGACAAGGCCTATGTTTAACAAGCACCAAAACACTTCAGAGTATTTGGAAGATCAGACTACTGAGCTTTACTTTTTTGTACTGTCCTCACCAAGTCATAGAGAACATTGAACACCTAAATACATTCAGAATTCTGATTAGACCCATGCCATGGTTTCTTAAACGCTTCACTGTTTAATGAACACACCTTTTTGGCAAGAAATAGAATATATCTACAGAAAAGCCTAGCATAACCTGGAATTTACTAGGCTGGCTTCAGCTGCTCTGCTAGGCTGGGAAAAACTGGACTTTATGTGCCGCTGTGTGCCACAAACACCCATTTTTGTATTATTCTTCAGTCACAACACAGGCAGTAGAGAAACAGGAGACACTAGAAAACATGAAGAATCTGTTGTCTGTAGGGGAGAACAGAATAAATACCTGTTTTTTATTAAGCAGAACAAGTTGTTTTCAATACACTGATCTAGACCAAGGCCTGTTGGGTTCTAAAAACTCTGTAATCCCACTGAATTTAAGGCAAATTTGAAACATAGCAATAGCTGAGATGTAAATTTATGGCATTTTTTTTTTTACTTCAGATACGAAGCTTTTAAAACTACAGACATGGTGGCAGTCAAGCTTTCTTAGTTTTCAATGCAGTATTTGTGTTAAAAGAAACCCCTACCAATAATAATCATTACCCCCCTGCATTCTAAAATGGAAGTCTTCAAAGAGCTGGCTTCTAATTAATTTTTAAAGATTTCTGGAAAATAAGTTGCAAAGTGGTTTTCAGTTTTCACTTAAAAAGGGGGGCTGGTTCAATTTGTCTATTATATGAAGGCCCAAACAGAAGCTGAGGGACTGTCTCCTCCAAATCTCTATTTTTAACTTTGATTGTATCAGTGACTGACACAACCTGGCTAATTGTATCAGAACAGGTCCTTGCTGTTTTGAGGAATACATGTGAGCTCAGAAGAGACCCCCATGGGATTTCAATACATAGAGTTAAACTAATACTAAACACTCTTCTTCCAGTGCTGAAGCAAAAAGTTTTCCTACTTAAAATAGAAATTATCAGATTCACAGCAGGAATCACAGCAGTTAGTTTTCAGTTGGCCTGATTAGAAACCCCTTGCAAAAACCCTTTACACATCATTGCTCAACTTTTAGTTTAATGTTGTAAGATAATTTCAAGTCTTCTTGGGATAGGGGGTTAAATAAATAAATAAAGAAGAGAGACTTGCAGGTTTTGTGCGCTAATCTTTAAAGAAGGGGCTGAAAGGAAGATAATGGACTTGAACTCCTTAGATCTTCCAAATTACAGAAGGTACAGGTCTCCTTCCACCTCTCTGCAAACCAGGAAAAGACATATTGGTCTGACACATAATTTTAAAGACATTAGAAGCTTAAATTTTATAACTAATCGACCTTTAGAATTTTACCCCAATAAACACTGTTCCCGGTAAGGAATAAGGGCCTAATCTGACAAGGCCTTTTTAGCATTAAAGCCACACTACCTTCCTAAAGCTGCCTACTGAATACAGCTTTCCACTCATATGCTGCCATCACATAGGATCAGGACCTAAATACAAATGAAAAACTGTAGTATTAGGTAAAATAGCAATCTTGTGGTCTTTTCTTTTTAAACACTATCCTTAGCTAGTCGAGTCCCCCACCCCTCCCTTCACTTCTATTAAGATACAAACCAGGATTAAAAGCCTATGTGAAAGTTAGTGTTTCATGTAATACATAAAAGCGCACAAATTTGTTTTCTAAAAAACAGCATCTGTATTAAAATTCTTAAAATGGATAGACATCTCTTGAATGCATGTCTGGAATTAAAATGACAGTTGTTAGAATTTTCTTGGTACATCACAATGATAAGATTTCCTTCTTTGCTGGCTGGAGGTACATTCCACAACAAAACCGGGGGGGGGTGGGGGGGGTGGGGGTGGAAGGAAAACAAAAAAAGCCCTCCTCCCCCCAAAAAAACCAAAAGGCTAAATTCTTGTAAATTTGAAGTAAAGGAAGCCCGAACTTGCAAGACATGGAAACAACAGTTAAAAGGCTCAGATGGAAATAAGAAATAAATTCCACTGACAATAGGCCCTTTTGTCCTGGTTTGTTCGGTATGATTACTGCAAGGAAACTGTTAAGTAGTTTTTGGAGTAGTAGATAATGGAATTCTGTGGAGCTTTCACAGGTTGGCACCGGCTGGAACAGCTGAGTTTTGAAGGCACTCTATAGACACAGGGTTGCTGTTGGCCCTGCATCACATATAGGAAGTCTTTGCACTTTAGAGAGCTAGTCATCAAAATCAGTTATTGCCAACCTAAAAAGAAAAACCCTCGGAAGAAAAACCACAAAAAAAACTGCTCCCACCCACCAAACGAAAAATTAAAATGAAAACGAAATCACACACACACGCACACCTAAAAAATTGTGCAGATTTGTAACATTTTCACAGCTGATTTTAAAAAAAAACAGAACCCAGGGAAAACCCAACACGCTACCACTCTCCTGCAAACTCCCATCCGATACAGCAGGTAAACAGAATAGGAAGGTATCCCACGGCTCGTCGCAGGCGCTCCCCAGCACCCCGCGCCGGGCTGCCGTAGGGTTCGAGTTCGTCCCGGGTCAGACGTGCAACGCCCCGGGCCAGGCGCCCCGGCACAACCCCCGACTTTGCAACTTTGCATAGCGATCCTCACACCGGCGGGGCAGGGAAAGGGGGATCCGCACTGACCCCGCTCCCCACGCGGGCAAGGGGCAGCTCCTCGCCGGCGTCGTCCTCCCGGTGCCACAGCGCGGGGCAGCACGCCGCGAAGACACCGACGGGAAATATGCCACGACCAGGACTGGACGAAACGTACATGCCGAAAAAAGCCACATTTCCAACACGATTTTTTTTTCGGTTTTTTTTTTTTGTTTGTTTGTTTTGTGTTTTGAGTGCGTTCGGTGTCGGCGGCTGCTGAGGGCAGCGCGCCCGCCCGCGGGGCCGCTCCCGCTCCGCTCCCGCCGAGCCCCGACCCGCCGCCGCCCTCAGAGGATGGCGCAGGAGGAGCAGCACTGCTCGTCCCCGTTGGGCTGCGAGGCGTAGTTCATCTGCCTGACGATCTCCGCGAAGAGCTCGTCCACCGAGGCTTTGTTTTTGGCCGAGGTTTCCATGAAGGGGCAGCTCCACTCCTCGGCCAGGGCTTTGCCCTCCCCGAAGGAGACCTCCCGCTCGCCCTCCAGGTCCACCTTGTTGCCCACCAGGATCATGGGCACCCTCTCGTACCTCTTCACTCGGATGATTTGGTCCCGCATGGGCTTGATGTCCTGGAAGCTTTGCTGGTTCACCAGACTGTATACCAGGATGAAGCCCTGCCCGTTCTTGATGTAGAGGTCCCGCATGGAGGCGAACTGCTCGGTGCCCGCCGTGTCCAGGATCTCCAGCACCGACGGCGAGGAGTCCACCTCGATCTCCTTACGGTAGAAGTCCTCAATGGTGGGGTCATACTTCTCGATGAAAGAACCCGTCACGAACTGGACGGTGAGGGCGGACTTGCCCACGCCGCCCGAGCCCAGCACCACCACCTTGTACTCCCGCATGGCTCCCGGCGCGCCGCCTCCCTCGCCTCCCGCTCGGGGCTGCCGCTTCCCTCCCGCCCTCACGGCGGGCGGAGAGAGGGAGGGAGGGAAGGAAGAAGAGAAGGAGGGAATAAAGAAGAGAGGGAGGGGCGCGCCCGCCCCGCCGGGCGCTCACTGGCGCCGCGCAGGGCCCGCCGGGGCGGGGAAAAGGCGGCCGCTCCTCACGGAGCCGCTCCGGGCCAGTCCCGTCGCTGGGCAGCGCCGCGCCCCGAGGGCGGGTGCGGGGCCTAGCGCGGCGGCTGCGGCGCCTGCGCAGTGGGAGGTAGCTGCCGCCTCCTCCGCTGGGGGGGGGGGGGGGGGCAGTGCGCCGGCGTTACCAGCCCCGGGCCTACGGCGGGACGGTGCGGCAGCGGCCCGTAGCGCCCCGCCCTGCTCCGGCGCGGCCCATTGGCTCTGGCCCGCCGCCGTCCGCTCCTATTGGCTTCCCGGCGGCGGGGAGCCGTGCGCGCAGCGCCCCGCCCTGCTCGTCAGGCCCCGTCGCCGCCCGGGCTGAACGGGCGCGTTCGCGGTGTAGCGTATGCTCTCTGCTACTCGCCGGCTCCTAGGGCGCTGAGCTGCGTTCCCTTAGGAGCGGGGTGCTCTCGGAGCCACGCTGGCCCTGGTCAGCTAGGGGAGAAGAGCGGCGGGACCGGCAGACCGAGGTCTTCTGCCCCCTTATCGGCGGGGGGCACGGCCCGATTATCTCCTCTCTCTGAGGTCTCTCCCGCCCTATCGGATCTCGCCAGGGGGCGAGGCACTTTTCGCAGCCGGCGCCAGAGCAGCTGCCGACGCCTCCTGCTCCTCGGGGCTGTCGCCTCGGGAGCCTGGTGCTTAATGGCACTCCGGCCCCCGCGGAGGCAGCATGAGAGGAGCTGCGGTGCGGAGGGGGGGCAGATCTCCGCCACGGAGGGGCTGCCGGCAGCGCCCGCTCACCCCGTGCGGGAGGGCCTGGCCGGTGTTGGGGCTCTGGAGCAGTCCCTTCGGCTCCCCAGCCGCTCTTTCTGCCCGGCTGAAGGTGCCCACTACCTACTAGGGGAAACCGTTCCCGGGGGCAAAGGCACTCTCAGCCCTGGGGCTCCTAGGGAGAGGCGGACGGAACTGACCAGCCTGTTGTCTCCTGACCTCCCGACTCAGGAGGGACAGCGCTGAGCTCTGGTTGGCGGCGGCCTCTGGGGAGCCCCTTCCAGGCTTTGATGTTCTCCATATCCCCCTGAAGTCAAGACTAGGTGGTCTTTCAATCTGAAATGTGGCAATTGCCAGATGTTGATGCAGTTTGGGCTTTGTGGCCCTCGAACTACAGTTTATCCTGGCAGCGTTGAGTCACGTGGACTGGCTACCTGCCACTGTTTGTAGAATTCATTCATTGGACTTCTTATCAATCAGACATTCCTTTCAAGAAAATATCATTAGCTATTTTGGCACCCTCTAATCTTTGGGTTTATATCATCTTGTTCAGTTCTTTAATACTCTCAGTATTTAAGGAAGTAATTGTGGCATGTATGCCCTTTCTAATGCACCTTCTTGTTTAGAAACCTAATTTAAACACTACTTGGGAAACAGGCAGCGGTAGACAAAGGGGGTTGCAGTAAGTTTTGTAAGCAACATTCTGTTACTCCTGAACGGTTTTTGCAGAGGCCAAGTACTGCTAAAATTATTTTTGCCAGAATTCACGGTGTGGATTCGCTCTGCTGGATCTGGATGCACTGCATCCCCGTGGTCATCTGGTGAGTACTACATTTCCACTGATCCTCTGCTGAGCACTGTATCTCTGGTGATCCTGTCCTGTCAGGAGCTTAACTAAAATCCTCTCCTACTGTTTGTGTAAGGCTTTGCAAGTGAAGCCACTCCTGAGGAATACTAAAATTGTGTTCAAGCAACCCTGCTATGAAGTGGGCAACAGTTTAAACAACTTCCTTAAACATATCGCATATCTGAAACCCGTCCCTCTCTGTGTTCAGTTTCTAGGTGTAGTTGTGCCCTGTACCTGTTGAGAGTCCCTATTGGGATGCTGGTCTGTCAGGCCTCCATCTGATTTCTTCTAGGTGCAGTCTTCTCTCTCACCTGCCAAATTTGTCAGCTGCAGGCTGATCCTGACCTAGTTCAAGGTGCTAAACAGATCAATCTGGAATGTTGATCAGATACTGCAGCTCATGATGAATCTTGAGGGCTGGGATTCGGCCATATCTGTTCTATACTCTGCTTGCTAACCCCATTACCCTTCACTTGTGACAAACCTGTAGGCCATCTTTTTTTCCAGGGCAGTACTACAGTCTTCCATTCTTCAAAAAGTGAAAAAGACTTCTATGGGTACCTACGACCTCCAGTTCTGTCAATAAGTTGCCTTTCACTGGCTGCTCAGCTTCTGCACAGACATGCACAGATGCTGGTTTTGGAAACAAAGTAACAGCTCACTAGGAGGCTTCTGAGCCCTTTCCCCACCTTTTCCTGTTTCTTAGCTCCCTGCCCGTCTGATTCCCTCCTCTAGAAGTATTTGGGGGCAGAGCTAGCACATCAGCCCCTGACAGCTCACTCCCACCTTTATGTAAGTGAGCCAAAACCTGTCATGAGCCAGCAAGTGCTTGCCAAGTTGTCTCTAAAAGCAGCTATAAAAATTGTGTGAAAGCTATGGAATTGCTGCAAAAATATTTTATTTTCTTGGTCTGTGCTTTGCTAATGCTGCAGTAAGGTTTTGGGGACAGTGTGGATTTCCTTACACTCATCACCTCTATAGCAAACCCACTTGTAAGTTACTTACATTACACTTATCCCTAATGTGGCGGTAGCGATATAAAGACCAGACAATTGTACTGTTGGTTTAAAGACAGGCTATTTAATACCAATTGACCATTGAATCGCGTTTTATTCTGCAGTGACAGAATAAAATTACATGGGTTTTTTTTTTGCATTCCACGCTATGCTATTAATTGCTGCTCTTTCTGAAGAAGGAAATGTGTTCAAAGTAACAAATGACCTTTATGCTGTTGTGTTTAAATATGACATATTATTTCTCAAGTTCTCATCCTCTACTACATATGTTAATTTAATCTGTCTTGTTACCAGCCAGCTCTAGGTAATTAGTTAGTCTGCAGTGCTGCTTTTAGAAATTTGGAGTCCATGAAATAACAGCAAGGAGTCTGTGGGAAGTAGCTAAAGGAAGCGAGTCTGGTTTTGTTAGAAATAAATTTTCTGTGCATGGCTACAGACTGCTAAGGGGATCTGTCAGTTGAAAATCCCTGGCTAAGGGTTTACACATTTAAGTTAAATCACAAGAGTATTCAGTACCTAATTTTTGAATTAGGAAGCACACACATTATATTGGGTTCTTGTACTTCATGGATGGTACCATGGTTTAGATTCAGGAATAAATGAAAATTATCGTGAAACAAGCTCTATTTGGGCAACATGAAAATGTTACAATGCAGTGGAATCTAGGCAAACTATAATTATCAGGCAGTCAGCTGCATTAATTGGATTTTCAAAATAATCAAGTATATTTTAAAAACACTTTCAAGATGATCTGATACTATTTTAAAAATGTCAAAATAAAAATCAGCTGAAAAGCATAAATTTGGTTACTAAGCAGTTTACGTACAATATTTACATATATAACTAAACTAGCTTTTGCTGTGTTGATTAACCTTGCTCATTCAGTAAAACTACTTATATGACCTAAGATTTTTTTTTTGCATAGTTTAGAAAGGTCATCAGCTGCTTCTGTTATAGTTATTTTTGGCTGTACAAGTGTCAGCATTATAGAACTACAAAATAGTGGGGTTTTGTTTGCTTTTTTTTTCAAAAATGCATTTCACATATTATAGGCAAAGATTGAACTTAACTGTAGTTTAAATCAGTAACACATATTAGATCTAAAATTGCATTACGGTGCATGTCTGATAACAACAAGATTTAGTGTGTGTCTCTTGTTCTGAAACAATGACTTTAGTTTTCTTTATTTAATTTGGGTTGCTTCTGTTGAATAATGCTGGTGGCATTTATCACTGCACAAGGGAGAGACTGAGTCACTGAGCCTCAAAAATTGCTGCCAAGCTTTAACCAAAAATCAGCAAGAAAGATTTATGTGAGGGGCATAAGCTTATAGAATCATAGAATCATAGAATCGTTAGGGTTGGAAAGGACCTTAAGATCGTCTAGTTCCAGCCCCCCTGCCGTGGGCAGGGACACCTTACGCTAAATCATATCACCCAAGGCCTCGTCCAACCTGGTCTTGAACACTGCCAGGCATGGAGCATTCACAACCTCCCTGGGCAACCTATTCCAGTGCCTCACCACCCTAACAGGAAAGAATTTCCTTCTTACATCCAACCTAAACTTCCCCTGTTTAAGTTTTAACTCGTTACCCCTTGTCCTATCACTACAGTCTCTAATGAAGAGTCCCTCCCCAGCATCCCTATAGGCCCCCTTTCAGATACTGGAAGGCTGCTATGAGGTCTCCATGCAGCCTTCTCTTCTCCAGGCTCAACAGCCCCAACTTCCTCAACCTATCTTCATACGGGAGGTGCTCCAGTCCCCTGATCATCCTCGTGGCCCTTCTCTGGACTTGTTCCAACAGTTCCTTGTCCTTTTTATGTTGAGGACACCAGAACTGCACACAATACTCCAGGTGAGGTCTCATGAGAGCAGAGTAGAGGGGCAGGATCACCTCCTTCGACCTGCTGGTCATGCTCCTTTTGATGCAGCCCAGGATACTGTTGGCTTTCTGGGCTGCAAGCGCACGCTGCCAGCTCATGCTCAGTTTCTCATCAACCAACACCCCCAGGTCCTTCTCTGCAGGGCTGCTCTGAATCTCTTCTCTGCCCAACCTGTAGCTGTGCCTGGGATTGCTCCGACCCAGGTGTAGGACCTTGCACTTGGCATGGTTAAACTTCATGAGGTTGGCATCAGCCCACCTCACAAGCGTGTCGAGGTCCCTCTGGATGGCATTCCTTCCCTCCAGGGTATCAACCGAACCACACAGCTTGGTGTCATCACCAAACTTGCTGAGGGCGCACTCAATCCCACTGTCCATGTCAGTGACAAAGATGTTGAGCAAGACCGGTCCCAACACCGATCCCTGAGGGACGCCACTCGTTACTGGTCTCCAGCTGGACATTGAGCCATTGACCACAACTCTTTGTGTGTGGCCATCCAGCCAGTTCTTTATTCACTGAGTGGTCCATCCATCAAATTGATGTCTCTCCAATTTAGAGACAAGGATGTCGTGTGGGACAGTGTCAAACGCTTTGCACAAGTCCAGGTAGATGGCATCAGCTGCTCTACCCCTGTCCATCGGTTCTGTAGCCCCATCTTAGAAGGCCACCAAATTGGTCAGGCAGGATTTCCCCTTAGTGAAGCCATGCTGGCTGTCACCAAGCACCTTGTTGTTTTTCATGTGCCTTAGCATGCCTTCCAGGAGAATCTGCTCCAAGATTTTGCCAGGCACAGAGGTGAGACTGACTGGTCTGTAATTCCCCAGGTCATCCATTTTCCCCTTCTTGAAAATGGGGGTTATATTTCCCTTTATCCAGTCATCAGGAACTTCACCTGATAGCCATGATTTTTCAAATATGATGGACAGTGGTTTAGCAACTTCATTTGCCAGCTCCTTCAGGACCCGTGGATGGATTTCATCAGGTCCCATGAACTTGTGTATGTTCAGGTTCTTCAGATGGTCTCAAACCAGATCCTCTCCTACAGTGGGCCCAAGGTCTTCATTCTCACAGTCCCTGCATCTGCCTTCCAAGACTTGGGTGGTGTGGTCAGAGCCTTTGCCAGTGAAGACCGAGGCAAAGAAGTCATTCAGAACCTCAGCCTTCTCCAAATCCAGGGTTCTCCCGAGAGCTTCCTGAGGGGGCCTACGTTGTCCCTAGTCTGTTTTTTATTCACTACATACCTATGGAATCCCTTCCTGTTATCCTTAACATCCCTAGCCAAGTTTAATTCTAAATGGGCCTTAGCTTTCCTAACCTGATCCCTAGCTTCCCGGACAACATCTCTGTATTCTTCCCAGGCTGCCTGTCCTTGCTTCCACCTTTTATAAGCTTCTTTTTTCCTTTGAATTTTTCTCAGCAGCTCCTTATCCATCCAAGGAGGTCTCCTTGCCCTCCTGCTGCACTTCCTTCTAGTTGGGATGTAACACTCCTGAGCTTGCAGTAGGTGATGCTTGAACTATTTCCCATGGAACCTTACTAAGCAGCTTCCTGAAGAGGCCAGAGTCTGCTCTCCTGAAGTCTAGGGCAGTGAGCTTGCTGCACGCTCTTCTCACTGTCCTGAGGATCTCAAGTTCGAGCATCTCATGATCTCTGCATCCAAGGCTGCCCTGGAGAGTCACATTTCCAATGAGCCCTTCCCTGTTGGTGAGCATGAGGTCAAGCATGGCACCTCTCCTTGTCAGCTCCTCTATTACTTGCAGAAAGAAGTTGTCTTCCACACAATTGAGGAACCTCCTGGATTGCTTGTGCCGGGCTGTATCGTCCTTCCAACAGATGTCAGGGTGGTTGAAGTCACCCATGAGAGCAAGGGCCTGTGAGCGTGAGGCTTTTCCTATCTGTCTATGGAGTGCTTCATCCGCAGGTTCTCCTTGATCAGGCGGTCTGTAACAGACCCCCACAGTAATATCTCCCATCGCTGTTCTCCCTTTAACCCTGACCCACAAACTCTCTATTGAGTGCTCACCTGTCCCCAGACAGAGTTCCATACTCTCCAGACTATCCCTAACATAAATAGCAACTCCCCCTCCCCGCCTGTCAGGCCTGTCTTTTCTAAAGAGCCTGTAACCTTCCATTCCAACACTCCAGTCATAGGAGCCATCCTACCATGTTTCTGTGATGCCTATTGTATCAAACCCCCGTAGACATGCACACATCTCTAATTCCTCTTGATTGTTCCCCATGCTACAGGCATTAGTTATATGGTTGTTTATAGAAGTGCACTTGTTTTCCTATGTTCTACGTTACAGAAGATCCATGCATAGGAGAGAATAGACCTTTCAAAATTCTTCATCAAAAATAATCTGGCATTCCAACAGTATTTAAATATAATAATTAACTTGTCTGCACCTTGAGTTATTCTTGATAATTCTTTATGCAAATACATATCTGAAACAAGACTGCCTAATATCCGTTTATCTTAATCCTGTGGCATTAAGTGTTCTTATTCTAGAAACAAAAAGTCTACATATGGAGCTAAGTGAGGTAGTCAATTAGGGTAATTCCATGGGTAGGCTAGTTTCATTGTAAGTGAAACTGTTCCCTCTGCTCAATACCCAGCTAATCAGAAAGAAATGGATACGACAAATTGAGAAGTGACTCAGGCCAAAGGTGCTGCTGAATGTTGTAATTGGATTGTTTGTAGCAGTATGAGCTGGTTTCTCTCCTGACTCAACCAGCTGTGCAGTCTCCCTTTTGCCAGCTACTTCCTGGGTAGGAACTGGTTTATGCAGAATCATACTTTTACTGCCTTTGTTGGCAATCCTAGTGTGTACGTCTTCGGGAAATGTAGCCCCACTATCACTTTCCTCTGCAAAAAGATTCTCAAATGCAAAACACCCAAGTTTCATTTTATCAAGAAATAATAGCAGCTGCTGGTGGGTGTAAATAAATAAATAAATACATAAGTAAGAAAGAAAAAAAAGTGACACATACACAGAAGAAAAAGTTCATTATTTCCATCAAAAGCCCTGCCAGAGATCTTATCACTGTTAAAAAAAATAGCCTGTGCTGCCAGAACTTACTGCACTTGGTGTAATAATGCCACTTTATTTTTCTTTGTGAAGATGTGTTCAATGACATGTTTATGTACACCTCATAGATGTGATGTTTATGGTCAAAATATGCACAATTGTCAAAGTGCGGGTCTATTCCTGAGTTCTTTTTAATTATCCCACACCAATTTACCACAGTAGCAGTTTACATAAAAGGTGATGAAGATTAGGATTTTAGGTAAGCATACGAAACAAAGAGCACACTTATCTGTTGCTATGTGCAGCAATCAAGTTTTGTGTAGGAGTAATGAAATGGCTCTTGGAACCATAAAAGTAATCTTGATAGCACTTGCATGGAAACAGTACTATTGTATGTTAATGAAAATGGTGTAATCAGCATGATTTGAAACTGGTGACTAACTCAAAAAATAAACTTCTTGCCTGCATTAAAAGTCCTTTTGTAGAAAGATGTATTTTCTTCATTGACCCATGGCATTGCATCACATTGCAGCATTAACTTTGCTGGCAGAAGCATTCAAATGCAGGAAATAGTTATAATTTGGAGAGTTTTCACTCTTTCAATTTGTTTAATTTCTTCATCTCCTAGCCAGGGTCAAAGAGCTTTGTCTTCTGACAAATGGCATTTAAGAATGAATACTTCCAGCTGTGATCTTACTGTATTTCATAAGATGGGAGATTTCCAGAAGTCCTAAGTGTTTTCAAGTCACCAGCAGGACTTTTCTTCCAGGTGAGGAATCACTGTAACAGTCTGCCTTTGGTCTCAGTTTGGTGGTGTAAAATTGTGGTTTTAAGTATTGGTAATTATTAGGGTCTGGGGATTTTTGTCTAATGAACAATGAGAGGAAACAAACATTTTAAAAAATGAGAGTCCATCAGTGGAAGGAGGAAATCTCCTAGATATAACCAGAGTTGTATTTTGTTCCTTTTTCATTGCCTGTAATTCCCATGAACATTGTGGAACAATAGGTAAATCCAACAAACCAGGGAGTCCATAGCCGTTATGCAAATAATGTGGAACTTATGGGAAGAAGGGGAGACAGCAGAGGCAAGTGAACCTTTCCCTTATGTACCAGAACAAGAGAAATAAAAATACTTCTTCCATTCATTAGCAAGAAAAAGTGGTTTAAACTTAGTGAAAACATATGAAAGTTTTTAATTTTTTTCTTTTTTTTTTTGAGGGTATTTGTAGTTTTCAGTGGACAGCACAGAATTTCCCCCTAGAGTGTCATTTAATCAAAATACCAATCTGGTGAACAGTATTCTGTGGTACATTTTGGCTAACCTTAATAGCAAGTGAATTAATAGCGGCTAGTGCTCGCTTTCTTCCAATTCACATTACCATGATGCGTCTGTCAAGGTAAACTCCATTTCCTGACATTATTTCTTTTAGTACATTTTGAAAACTGGGCACAATATATCTGCCTCTGGATTCAGATGGAGCACTGAATTACTTTATCATCTCCAGCCAAAGATTTCCACCTCCACAATTAGCCCAGCGGCACAAGCTGCATGACAGTTCCTGAAGGCACTTGGTGCAGAGCCAACCCTGTTAGCTCAAAGGCCCTGTGTCACTGGAAGCACAGAGCTAACCTTGCACTGAACTGCAAGGAGCTTGTCCACAGCTTCCTTTTTTTGCCAGCTTTTTTGTAGCTTCTAGTGTAAATTCCAGTTGCAAGGGAAATGGAGGAAGCTGAGCCTTAAATCACAGCAGGTGTTTGAAAAAGTAAGATAAACCAAAAGTCTTCTTTTTTTGCCACTTGTTACCATGTGCTGTGAACATTTACATTGGCTACAAAGGGAAGGTGGCAAGTTAGGAACATTGATTGCAACAAACCGAGTTGAGTTAGCATAAAACTTTGTATAAATTCACATCTTACCTGACAAATCAATGTGAGTTTGCTGACTGACTCAGTTCTCTGTCCTGTTTTACTGTTTTATCAAAAGTTTTAGGCTGCTGAGCCAAACCGGTTAATACTGAAGGAGACTTAAAATAGCATTTCTCTGGTGGCAGTGGCTGTAAAAGACAAGCTGCAGTTTGTGTTTCCAGGTTTAAAAACAGTTACAGAACAATCAATACACAGTCAAAGCTTTAAAACCAAATAAACGTAGAGAGTAACCATCAAGGCCTTTTGCCTGTTTTGGGGTTTTTGATGACAGTAAGAGCTGTGCAAGCAGAAGTTGCTGGGTAGGTACTGTCCAAATCTAGCCCTACATGATTTTTGGGGGGGAATGAAGCTATTACTAGACTTACAGAAGCTCACCAAAAGACATCCATTTTTAGGTACTTTGTCCAAACTCATGAAATATTTACAGTATAGCCCTCCAAGAAGCTGAGCATCTTGAGGTCTCACATAGGCAGGCAAGCCCCAGATCTCTCAGCCTCACCCTGATTGAGTCTTTAAGACTGCAAGAGAAAATGAATTAAACTAGACAAGAGGAACTGCCTGCTAAATTGAGCTTTACTTTGTAATATGCAGGCAGACTGCAAGGTCAGCAAAGCCTTGCAAGCTGAGTGGCCATATGGGCAATGGCAGTTTATGAAACAACTGTGCCAGATTTGGCAGCCTTGATGATGACCACATGGTAGGTCAGTGAAAACCATTTCATTGCTAGTTGTCTAATTTCAGTCTCAGTCATCTTAAGAACATGTTAAGACCAGATTTTAGAAAGGATGGCATCATTTCGGCTCTGAAACTTATCCTGTTCTGTGTCTTTTATATAAACTTCTTGTATAACCACCAGAGTACTTATGCTATACCTTGGGTAACTGAAAAAGTTCAAGTTTAAATATTGACTGTTCTTATTGATATGTGTGGAGACTTGCATTTGAGTATTTTGAAGCAATTTTGGTGTAAACCTATCCACAAATGATATAAGGTTTTTTTGAGAGACTTGCATTAAGGTCAGAGTGGCATAAGTTATACGCAGCCTCAGTAGCCTTCAGATCTCTTGTAGCTCTCTGCATTAGCCAAATGCCATGTTTTCTGATTGTTTTCAAAGGGCTGATGCTTATAGCTTTGTTGTTTCTGGCTGGTCAAGGTTGGAGGTATCATTGTGGTCAACCACTGATTGTGTCACCAGCCTAAATACTGTTTCATCTTTCAGGCCTTTGGCTGCTGGGCCAGATTAACGTGAATGTGGGAGCAAATAGAGTCTTGCAGCACCTGGCCTCTGCAGATAACCCCACCCAGCTTGACTCCAGGCCAAGGCACAAACCACCTCTGTTGTATTGACAGATGACCTCATGAGAACGAACAGATAAGACAAAATGATGTTGATGCTACTTGATCTGTAGGCCATGCTTGATATCTTCAGCCAGGGCAGTAAGGAATGCTGATGTAACCACAAGCCCTTGCAGAATTTGTCTGAAGGCTGGTTATCATCATGCCCTTCTGGAAGACTGACTGCTCCCTTAGGGCTTCATCCCCCAGCCAGCTCTTTGCTGACAGACTCCTTGCCCCTCTAAGGAAACCACTGCTCTGGCTTTTTTTTTGCAAGCTTTTCTGCATACCACAGTCCGTAACTGCAACAATAAATGTAAAATATCACTTGGGGAATGTAAATGTATTTCTATTTCTGTAAACTTTATTTTGTCCTAAGTAGCTCCAGTAAGAATATGCAGCAGGAGTACCAACAGCAGTTTATTGGTGTAACAGCCTCCATTGGCATCACTGTACTGCTCAAAGTGCTCTAGTAAAAGACATCCCAAACTAGTCCTGTTGTGTGAGAAAAATATGCTAGAAAGACCAGACTAAAAATTATTTGAAAGGTGAAATGATTCTGTTTGTAATCCATCATGTCACAAGTGGGAGGGATCTGCAGCAGGTTCACAGAGACAGAGCCCGCCATTCTTTGTCAGGGGGATTGTGATTTATCTGGGAATCGTGTCTATATGGAATAAGGGTAACATGACATCAGGAGTCGATCCATAGTAAAAGGGAAAACCCACAAGTCACTTTATGTACAAGAAGAATATTCCCCAGAAATGAATTGAATCCTACTTGCTTGTACCACTTGCAGACAGCAAACAAGACACCTGGTCCCAGGATCTACTCCAATTAATTGTACTAATTCTTCTTCATTTTGGCCAGTTCTTGATTGCTCCAGAAGAGGTGAACTTTGAGGATCTTATAGTATCTCTGAAACAGATGTGGCATTTTAGCACTGTAAGCAAAACAAAATGTCAAAATGATCAGAGTTTTGGTTTTCATCTGTGCTTCAGAGGTTTTTTCTTGATTTTACTCTACTAGTGAAGCCTGCAGGATACTTCACCCCATGAGATGATTCTTTTTGTCTAAAAACTAAAACTAGATACCCCATTAAAAATGGCATAGAACTCACAAGTGTTTCTCAGTTGTCCAGTTTATCAAAGTCACTTAAAATTCCAATTCTGTTCTTTGGAGTGCTGGCAACCACCTTAATAACATCAGCAAGTTTTGTATTTGGACTTCTGTTGTTCCAGGCATTTATACAAACACAAACTGTATTACAAGTCTTTGGGTATCCCTTCCAGTTTTACAGCAGACTACTGATAACTACTGATACTGATAATCTGAATATAATCCAATAGTATACTAATAGTGTTTTCTTACTGGAAGCTAGGAATGTAGGAAAAGTTTTTTTTCCATAGAAAACACATCAGATCCAGTGGCTCCCACTTTTGATATATGAACGCCTCTGTGGATAAAAATGGAGACCATATAGTGGTTTGCAAACTGCAATGTAGACTGCAGTGTGTTTTGTTCATATTTATGTCTGGATTTACATACAGAGTTTCTTAACAGGTTATTATCTTCTAGATGCTTTCACAGACTGCTTAATGAAGTGTTGTATTCAGCTGAGTATGCTGACACCAAGATGACTGACTAATGCAAATATACCTGTACGAGTCAGTTTTAATTTCATTGTTAACTAGTGCCTTGGTATCTTTGTACAGAAAACAACATATTTCATAGTTTACATCAGATTGAATTCTTCTGCACATATAAACAAATACATTCATGAGAACAGGAAAGTAAACTCTGTAAGGCGTTCGTGGCTGCAGTGAAAAATCCATTATAAATAGTCTTCTGTTGTTAATTTTTTTAAACTAAGCCATCAACCACCTAAAGCAAGAACAGCTGGGGGTCTGCATGGCCTGGAGAAGCATTTGGAGGAGGGTTTAGGATCTTGTGATTGCTGAGATCTGGAAGGAATGTGCCAGTTCTTTGTGTCATGAACTCATTCTGCACTTGCATTGCTTAAAATAATGATTTTAAAGCTCCTTTTAGTCTTCCTGATGAAAGACTTCCCTCGCTCAGGAAGGAGTCCTGTGGCAGGCTGTCAAAGAAAGGGTAAAAAAAAAAAAATGTTCCCAGTTAGTTTCACTCTCAGTTAACTGGAAGCAGAAGAGTCTCTGATCCTTATTTTGCATGTGGCTGGTCTGGGCACTTCCTTCTGGCCAGGATGCGGCACTGGTGTTTGAGGAAGGGGCTGATCTGACTGCTCCTGGCACATCTCGCCCAGCTGGCTAGCTTGGTAAGGCTTGACAGCAGAAGGACAAAAGCTGTTAGGGTGTGCAGTTACCCGTGTTTAGCAAGAGAGAGTTGTGTTTGTTTTCTGTCTGCCAGACTTGTACCTGGTGTCAGTACCTGGCTGCTGCAGTTAGTGTATATATATATAAATATCACTCTGAGAGCATGAGTCAT